TTCCCTTGAGAACCTAGATTAACACAGCAAGTCTATCAAAGGCAATTTATAGAAGTAGAAATCACTATAATCTGAAGAAACTAGATTTCATTTATTTAGCACTCTCATAGATTAGGTTTTTCTAAATCCAATGAATAGCTTAGAGAGAACAAATTTATAGTGAGTATTGAATTTGGACGGAAATTTGACAAAACTTGGGGGAAGATTTCCTTTGCAGGCAAAAGAAATAGACTGAGGCAAGGCATGGAGTTGGAGAGTGGGAAGCAGGTAGATATGTACAATTGGAGGGTAACAGTTAATAATAAGTAATGTTTATTGACCACTTATTAAATGAAATTGGAACAAATTAGAGAATAGAGGTCTATAGATGAGGAGGCATTCGAGCTGGTTACTGATCTCTCAATCTAAAGGAACACTCTCCTTTGAGTTTTTCATTAGTTGGTATAGGCAAAGCTGCTTCCCTCCGCACCGCCCCACCCCCATTGCTTAAATAAAAAAGAAGCCTATTTCTCTCTCTTGTAACAGTCCAGGAGTGGTAGGACTGTCTTGTCATGCTTTTATCTTTGAAATCAAAGCTTTCGTCCCACTTCTCATTATTGCCCAGACATAGTGAAGAGGACAAGGACCAGGTGAGTTAATACCTTTTCTTTTTAAGATCCTGAGCTAGAAGTGGCACATGTTATTTATGCCCATATGACACTGGCCAGAATTTAGTTCCAGGGCCACACTGCACTGCAGGGGAGGCTGGGAGGCCATGCTTTCTGCTAAAATGCAACTACTTTGGAATTAGTAGACAACAGATCCTGGGGAATGATTAGCAGTTTGCTGTAAGCTCCTAAAGCATTTCATTTTCCTTCCATGTTGTAGTGTTCACATTCTTTTTCATTATCATAAACATTTGTGCATATATTCAGTGTCTTCTGTGGATGGTTAATTTCCTAATGGAAGAATCCATTCTACCATTATGTACTCCATTGTCTAGCATTGAAGCTGGGATATCATGTACAGAACTTGAAAAGTCACTCACATAACATGCTGCTTAGTTGTTTTTCCATTATTATATCTTATGAAATGGGGCAACTATTAAATGTATGCAAATGGACACACACACACACATATATAAATAGATTAGCAATATAAATAATTTTTTGCAGTCCTCCCACTTTGTTGGTTCTAAACTCTGCAAACCTAAATATGCAATGTGTTTCTATCTTGTAAAACGAAAAAAGCAAAAACAAAACACACACACACACACACACACACACACACACAAACTTTTTCTTGTAGTTGGGAATGGGTGTAAAAAGTAAACTTTGGAGAGTGGAACTACTTTCATGTTGTATCCCTTTCTTTCTCCTTTCCTCTGGCCCCCGAAATGGCTCTGCTCTGATGAGCTGCATGATGGATGCAGTTGTGTTGGAGGGTATGTCATACACCAGCACGGGCCAGGAGAGACAGAGGGCATGTACATCGACGCCTCTTCTTTTCAATTAAACTTGAGAAGCTGATGCTTCACTTTGGAAACTTGATTGAAGCATGGGCTACGCTGCCTGCTGCCTGACAATGGAGAGGATTCAAAGTAACAAAGCTTAAAGCACCGTCGATAGTCCCCCATGACCATACTAGAGGGATTGCTGGAGATGTTGGGGAACCATGGAGAAAAATGAGTGGCTGTTAAAAACAAATAAATCTTATCAGGTCACTCCTCAACCTACAATCCTTTGAAGGACTGTACGCTGCTCTTGATAGAAAGTCCACAATCCTTGCTTACTGGTTCTCCGTCTCCTCGACAGCCTCATGGCCTACTTCTTTAGCCACATTTGAGATGCCTCTCCTTCCCATTCATTTTTCAGCCATACTAGCCAGTCCCGGACTGGCTCTCCTGCCTGAGGGGTTTTTTTGCAAGTGGTTCCTTCTATCTGGAACAGTTTCCTTCCCCAACCTTCTCCCAGCCAATTCCAACATGTTCTTCCCTGCCCCTCAAACTTGGTTAGTGCCCCATTTTACAGCCTCTTAACACCCTTATTTGCCTTTTCTGAGCACCTGTCATCCTTCAACAGCTGTTTGCTTTGTCTTCCTCATTAGAGCACAAACTCCTTGAGGGCAGGCACTAAGTCGGTCTCTTTCATTCCAAGAACCACCATGCCTATCCACATGCTGGCTGGCCACTAGCATCTTGAGAAATATCTGTTAAGTAAATAAATGCCTTGATGCTTTTAAAGTTAATTCTCTGAGCCTACTGGGTGGTGCTGCTAGAAATGTGTGAACTAAATGGGCTCTTTCTGCTTTGTCTGTTTCAAATCCCCCTGGGAAGCAGGAGATTTGAAAGGCAGGCATTATGGATGGGGATTCTGGGCAGGTCTCAGCCAGGGAGTCAGGCCAGGACTCTTGCTGTGAAATGGTAACATTTTCAAGGAAGTGACCCTCTACTGGAACTTCTCAGTTCCAAGGTGGTCATTAACTTGAATTGTTATGCAGTGTGAATAATCTGCCTATGGAAAAAATTTAGCACTGACAGTAGTACTACTTTTGCCATTAAATTTTGGCTGAAATCCTGACTAATCTCAGCTGGGTTCAGTCCAGACTGCATCATTTCCATAACATTAAGTTACAACCTGTAGCCACACCAGCAAAGCCACCCCTGAACAGAGAGAGGACCTCGGTACTTTCAAGAAGACCCATGGGAACCTGGGAAACTAGAACCCCAATAATGCTCACTTGTGGGAATAAGTTGACTTGAATCAATGGGTAATGAGCCTCTATATCTGGTCTTCTAGGTTCATGTCATTTGGCCAATCTTCTCTGAATCATTTATTCACTCATTTAGTTACCACTTGAATGCCTGCTATATACCACCCCAGGGGCAGGAATCAAAGTGAAATAACTGCTTTTATCCACAAAAAGCTTATTGTCTACTTAGAGAGACAGATGTGGGAAAAATAAGCCAAACAAATTGCTGGAGGAATGACAATATATTTTTAACTTTCAAATTCCAATGATCCCTCTAGTCCCTTTGAAAAGGCATATTCTGAAAAATGAGGCACTAGCCCGAATGTACCAGTTCTACTTTTTTATTTTCATTTCTTTTGCTTCCGGCACCTATTGTAGCTCAAGGTTTCTCAGCTTCCCACATAACCTCATACTCCTGGGCTGTGTAGGACTGTCCTCTACTACAAATTAGCAAGCATAAATGCCAAAAGTCATAACTCCACTAATTATAAAAAAGTTTATGACTTTTTTTTCTAATGCCTTACCCAGAAATTCAGTATTCTAAGTATTCTCAGAGTTCTTGGCAAATTATTGAACTCTGTTTAACGAAATGATTTGCATGATACTGTTTCCTGTCGACTCTGTGTTCAACTATAATCTCAGTGCTTTTATTTCAAGGAATCTATACATAACATTTCAATATGACCTCTATAACATAAGGCATTTAGATTTAGTTTATATAAAATTAAATTCCAGCTACGTTACTGATAATGACATTTGAATGATAACTTTATGATGCATTTTGCTTATTTGCATAATTCTATGCATATAACCATAATGACTGGGACATGGATAGACACATGGTTTAGAGGAATAGTGCAGGACCTACTGGAAAGAAATGCTGTCTTTTAAAATATTTTCTTACATGGTATGAGCCTGGGAAAATGTAGACCTACCTATTGCTATCAGCAGCAATCTTACAAGCAAATGCAGAACAATATCAAAGATAACTTGAAGAACAGATCTGAATTCTATTTTCAAGTTTGAGCACGTGCATGAATCCCTACCTGAAGCCACCTACACCTGGTCTCAAATATAAGTGAGCCCCAAATTCTTTTTTATGTTCAAGTTCACAAGTTAGACTGGATGTCAATTGCAAACATAAGAGACCTACTGATTAATTCTCACAAAAGGAAGAAGGTAGGAAGAAAGCTATACACAGGACAAATATAAGTCATCTATATTTATTCATTATTCAATATCTTTCTTTCCAGAGAGAAAATACACAGTCTAACTTACCCCATTTTAAAAAATCCCTTCCTCTGGCTTTATATCCTGAATTTCTATGTCCATAAATCAAGGTATGGTACCATAATACACAGTGATTCAAATTTTTCCCTGAGATTATTAAGGCTATGCCTTTGGCCACAGAATATCTACTGCCAGAATTCAGGAGAAAACATATGAAACTGAAAGTTCTTTTGGTGGTAGAAGGGGCAGAAAACTTAGGTGAAGATCCTGAGAAAAAGGTGCAGAGTCAACCAAGCCACTAACTAAATTTTACCTGCTGTGAACTATTATCCCTTCCACATCTCCAAACATTCTAGAAGGGAAATTCATCATATTGCATAGAAGGGCACTTTATCTCAATGCTGTGCAAAAAGCATCTTTACTTTTGCTAGATGCCAGAGCCATCTTGATGCCTCAGCTTCCAGTAAAACTCAGAGGTAGAGAGGTATGGGCAGCCTTTCCCCAGTGGCATATGGGAAAGAGGGAAAACTATATATGAGGGAAAAAATTATTATCACAATATGCGCCCATTGAGGCCTGCAGTGCTGCTCGGAATGGTTTGCTGTCCTAACAGCTACCGATCTTCCACAAGTAGGAAAGGGGAAAGACTCATTGGATTATCACCTCAAATTCCAGCCTAATCAAGTCAACAAATCATAAGGTGAATGGACAACAGCACGGCCCCCAGTTTCGGTGCACTGAACATCAACTCTGAGTGCAACGCAACTCGGATCAGCCCCTCCTGGGCTGGAAGAAATCACATTCTGGGAAGGAGCCAGCTTGCTGGGAATGGTCATTCTTAGATGCTGTTGTCAATCCTCCCACCCACCCATCTCCCTAAAATGGCACAATAGAATGATTGTGTTCCCTACTGAGGACTTCCCTTCCTAAAAACAAACAAGCAAAGGTTTCCCTGATCTGCCCCATATTCAATAGTGGAAAAAGGCAGCTGGCCCCGGGGTGGGGAGAGTGGGAAAGGAAGCAGGCAAGTGAGCTTGGGTGTTGGGTGTACATGTTCAGGAACAATGTGCTGTAGGGTGTGTGGGCTCCAAGGAGGGAAGGCTGAGCACTGGAGGGTGAGTCACTGTCAGAGACATCTTCCCCATGGAGGCAAGGTTCCCGATACTCTGTTAGGTTTTCTTGCAGTAGTTCTGACAGGCTTTCTCCATGCTTTTCAAGAAGTTAGGAACTCCATTCTGCAAAGGAAAAGAGACTGTCATTTCTATGTTCTTGTGTTAATCACTCCTGATTCTTTGGGATGTGACAAAAGGTAAACAAAGATGGCTTTGGGAATAATAAAAGACAATGCACTGCCTTATATTTTGGCTTTGGCTGCTAAAAAGCAAAGACATTTAGGATGCCCTTTCTTGAAAAGGAAATGGGATTGGGCTGGGTTGTTGGATTCTTCCAAAAAAATGATAGAAAAGACTTGCTTTACAGAATTAGAAAATGGTCAGGGGGGAGATATACTATTGTTTAGTTAGTGTCGAGCACTGTACAACACTTTTCCCAAATACTTTCTTATTTGTTCCTACTCTGTGGGGTAGGAATATCCACCTCCATTTTCTTTTGGCAGCTGGCAGGTACAGGGATCCTAACCCTTGACCTTGGTGTTATCACACTTTCATGTTTTAAAAAGAAGATATTCAGGGCTTCCCTAAATAAAACAAGATAGTCCAGAGCAGACCCAGGATTCAGAATTACATCTGTTTGACTCCAAAGCCTCTGTGCCTTTTCACTCTCCCACAGATCTGTTGAATCCTTCAGTAGGTAGGACTCATGCGAAGCAGGCTAAATGGTGCCCTTGATGCCAGGCTCCCAGGCAGTCAGTCTCTAGTGGTTTGGGATACCACCACAGTTCCCTCCCCTTCCAGGAAAAAAAAAAAAAAAAAAGGCAAGACAACAAAATTGGAAGATTCCCTCAGGCTTGGATACATCTGGTTGTCTCCCAGCTGGGTCAGTCTGTTTTACTCCTGCATAAACAGATATGCAGGGTCCAAAGGCAGCATTGTTCCTACAGGGAGCAGACAATTGTCTGGAGGTTCCAGAGAGCGATCCTGAGAGGGTCTCGGGGCACTAGCAAGGAGGGGCTGTCATTCTAAACTAACAACTCTTTGTCTTTTGTCCCAGCCTCCTCCATCCTGGGTGTTGGCAACTCCAGCCCTCACCAGAGTCCCTAAACCAAGCTCTTCATAAAAGAGCCTCATTACGCCTGAGACAATGTGTCTCTTCAGTCTGACAGCCCCGCAGGCTAAGTCAACATTTGTCAAACACACTGCCTCCACTGCCTCCCAGGATCTCACCTTGGCGACCCAGTTAATGAGCCAGGTCGGAATTTGGCCACCCGGATTATCAAAGTAGTACATGAAAACTATAGGGGAAAGAAAGGACAATTCAGAAAGAGGAAAAATATTGGAAAAAGACAGTAACAAAACCCGCCACACTTTATATCCTCATGTTCAGGCCCAGAAAGTACAGAGGGAGGTAGCATATAACTCGGATAGCCTTATCTCCACTGACTTGCCTTATGGCATATTTATATATGAGCATTTCTGAAACCACAGCCCCAGGCACATTTTGCCACTATTTATTAAACACCTAGGAGGTGTTGGACAATTGGTTATAGTCTCTCATCAAATTATCTTAGCAATCCTGAGGAACCGATAAAATTAAGTCCATTTTATAGATGATGAAAAGGAGACGCAGAAGACAGGTGACATATCCAAGGGGACAGATCCAACAGGCATCAGAACTACAGTTCAGATGGTGCCTAGGATGCAAGGCCACACTTATTCCGGTATAGCAGGTGGCTGCACGTCCCACTCTCTGGCCACAGCTTTCCTCCCTGGGGGCTATAACTCAAGGTAGGCAGGTCCTGAGTCTCTTGGTCTGTGCCGAGTGGAAGCTGCACCCCCCAAAGCAGTCCTGCCAGCCCTCTTGCCCACCCCCAAGCCCAGCGCATGTATCCACAGACCAGACTGAAGTGAACTTCTAACCCTCTGGTTAATTTTTAATGTTGTGATTTCCTCTGGACAACTTGAGAGTTAGTAAAGAATGGACTGGGTCAGATTCAAACAACCAGTTGAGTGTGGGGGTGGATGGAGTCTCTTCCCAGGTGTTGCTCCCTGCTCTGTTTTGCACCTGTGCCCATCCTCTGACCTCCAGGGATAAGCCTCATGCCCGTGACACCCTCTCCACCAGCACGGCCTTCACGTGGGTACCCTGCCTGGGTGTGCCGCTGCCACCTGGGCTTTACCTTTGCTCCCCTTCTTGCCGTCACTCTCGATCGCCAGGCTTTGCTTGTACTGTCTCACCCGGATCACCCCTGACCTCTCAGGAAGCTGAGGCACCGAGGTGCTCTGGGCCAGGATCACATGGACCTTCCGCCCTTCCACGTCCAGCTCCCGCCGCTGCCGGATGTAGGTGTACTGCACCCCAGTCAAGGCACGTCATCGATGCCAGCATTTCAGATGGGCAGACGCAAAGGGAGGTGATTCCGTACCTCCCACTGAGCACGTGCTCCCTTCTACTTACCGACCTGTCTCCCAACCCGCAAGACGGTGCCTCATACCACCCAATATTCTCATTTGAGAGCATGCACTGTCTGCTTGTGAATGATGCCTCGATGCTTTGAATTATGCACGGAAGCCATTCTTCCTTTCTCCAAAACACTAAGAAGTGGCAGAGGATTTGTCACTTATCTGCTGTGTGATCCTGGGTAAGTTACTAAACCTCTCTGAGACTCAGTTTCCCTATCCAAGAAAAGAGAGTAACAATGCCCACCAGGCAGTCTTGGTGAGGGCATTAAGGGAAGACTGGGGCAGAATAAGCTCTCAGTAGACAACGTCCTTCCTCTTTGTCCAGTCCTCACCCAAAGCTCTAATTACTGACCTCTACTGAATAGAAGAAATCAAGCAATGTTATAGCTGATGACCATAGGAAGACACAGGAAAACCTAAATATTTAGTATGTCCTCTCTGGGGTGACACTGAATCACCAAGAATAACAAAGCCATTTCAACTCCGTAAAACTGCACAGAACAACCTGCTCCAAAACTAAATGTTTTTTTCCACTGAACTATTCTCTGTTCACAAGAATTTAACAACCCCATTGGTAGACATATGTGTCTGTGTGTGTGTATAAAGACTAAGACATGTGTGTGTGTGTATATATATAAATAAAGACTAAGAAACTCAGTACAGGATTGTGTGGCACTGGAAAGCCAATGAAACAGAACTTCAAGGAGCCTCAAGTGTCCACTCTTGATAATACCTACCCAGCAATGTCACTGTGAAGTCAGATACGTGAGATTATGCCTTTGTTGAGATTACCATCTCTGGAGACAGCTGGACCAGGGTCCCAAACCTGCCTCTGCCGCCCGCTAGTTGTATGAACCCGAGCAAAGTTCTGAACTTCTCTTTGCCTCGGTTTCGTGAACTGTGAAATAGGAATGATGATCTCTAGCTTGCACCGTGGTTGGCAGGATTAAAGAAAAGCACATAAAATCTAAGAGATTAAGCAATCGATAATTTGTTGAAATACAAACTATGTGTATTCAAACTAGCAGTATTTGGCTATTAGGCCAAGAAGATAAACACTTAAAGTGTTTATAATCTATTTGGGGACCAGGGTAGACACACACACAAAAACACACACAAACACACCCACACTTTCCCTCTCTTTCTATAGAATAGTTATTTAGGAACATACAGACTTATCCAATGTCAGAGCTAGAAAAGGTCCCAGTGATCACCCAATTCAGTGGTTTCCAATTTTGTTTTTTATTCCACAAGACTGAGACCCTTTGGTAAATATGGAAATTCAGTATGTAAAACACTCAGCTGCTGTGAGTGAGAGGACAGGCACCCGACCGCCATCCTGTCCACCCACAAATTTCCATCCCACACTCCCAGGCTAGTCCCGAGAAGGCTCCTTAGAACCCTGGACTACTGGCTAAATCTCCCCACATTTCACTGAAGTGTTTCATTTCATAAATGAGGAAATTGTTTCATTTCATAAATGAGGGGAAGAAGCATCTGGACCAGTGTCCAGAGCCAACAGCCAAGGAGGGATAGCCATGGGGTCAACTGAGACAGGAGGCTAATGGGGAGAGCTGGAAACACCAGGGCCTGAGTTCTGGTGCCCACTTACCACTACCACCTGCAAGTCTCTGCCATCTCACCTCTCTGGATGCCTACATTCTCTCTGTAAATTGAGGGACCTGTATTAAATGCTATTTTATAAAAAGTTCCTTCCAGGTCCTCAATTCTGTAGCCCAGCAATTTCAAGCCCTAGAAAACTTCTCTGGAAAGTGTGAGCTGCCCTCCAGTGACCACAATTACAGATGCTCCATGTGGTTGGGCCCAGAAATCACAATCTGAGGTCTCTGAAAGCCACACAAGAAGCAACAGCTTTAGCAGATACTCCCATAAAATCAGAGACAATGTTGTCCCCACCTGTTGGAAAACCAGCTCTACGCCCCCTGCATTGGGTTGTGGCTGAGGGACACAGAAACACTTAGAGGGCTGAAAAATGGTGTGCCTTGTGAAAAGGATACATCTCTGTTGGACATGGGAAAAGGGTAATTCACTTCCCAGTAGACCACAGCCTTCCCGTTGCATTCTTTTTCATAGAGCTCTGAAGGAGGACAAAAGACGTTAATGCATCTGGAAACCTGTTTGGCTTCAAGTAACAAGAAGCTTAGGCAGGATGACCTTGCAGAGTACTATAAACCACCAACTCCACAAGGCATAGAATTATTAAAAAGAAAAAAAAGTGAAAAAAGTCAGGCAGATACATTACCACTGAAAGCTTGTTGCCCAGGGACAGAGTCTAGTGGATAGAAAAACATAGTAAAAATAGAAGAACCCAACAAAACTCGTCTGTTGTATAGCACAAACAAGATTATCAGACAGAATGCAATGAAACGAAACGAGGCATCAAAAAATAAACTGTCAGAGGTTTTAAAATCAGAATAACCACCAGATGTCACTAGAGTACCAATAGTTTTGCTTTTGAGACCTTTTTTCCCCTTTAAGATCTCTCGACACATGACAGCTAGCTGGGACTGAGAGAGTTACCCAGTCTAGAACATTCAGGTGGAAAAGGAAGGTTCCAGAGCAAGAAGGTGGCAGAAGTATGGCTACTTTAAGTTTCCTGCTTCTCTCCCATGCTCCTTCACACTACGCCACAGCTACAGTGACCACATTTCCTTAACATTCATTCTATCATGCTAGTATGTGCAAACAGCAGGCAGCCCTTGCAGGGAGACAGCAAAGAAATTGCATGACATGCACACCATCTGACCCAGGCTGTGCAGTAAGCTTCTACCTAATCACTTAGGAAAGGAGCCCAGCCGAGTTTGCTGAAATAACCAAGAGAGTCCCTGCAGGAGATGTTGAGGTGGATTAAACGAGCTTTTGGAAGAACCGTGGATTAAGGAGCCTGCCAGCCCATTAGTGTCACAGGAGGCTGATGACAGCCCTTAAAGGAAGGGGAGGAGTGGACATCTGTTGCTTTTGCACGCACAGTGTTTTCTCATACCAGCATCTCAATTTTCCCTCAGGGCATCACCCTTCTCCTACTTCTCTGCTGTGTGGTGTAAGCAAGACTGATTCTGCAGTGATTTCAGGCCTGGGAAAAGGAGCAGACACAGCCACAGTGATTATTTCAGGTTTGGTGCATCTGGCCAAGGTCTTAGTTGACTAGTCTAGCAAGTTGCCAAATGTGAGTTTGGTAAAGGCTCTCAGGTATGTGCAGAATGTTCAGCAGGACCAGAGTGAGGTTCAGAACCTTAGGATTGTTCCAGCAAAGCCAAACTGCTGCTTCCAAAGGACCAGACATCGTAGCAAAAGCTGCTGAGTAGCAAACATCAGAGGCTCTGCCATGGTTTTCCCTAAAGTCAGATGTCTTAGCTGTCACTGAGAACTGGGTTTTGAATGCTGCCTGCTTCCTCCTGGTGCTCTTTCCAAACTGAAGCCCCATGTGCATCTTATTAGCAAAGTCTATATGACAAGACTGCACCAAGGCTGCTGGGGAGACTGGGTCAGAGACTGGCTGCTCCCTTCGATAGGTGGGTGTCAAAACCCTCCCTAAATAGGAAGAGTATTTGAAAACACTAAGTTACACAAAACCACGAATGTCCACAGAAAATGAGCACGTGTTCCAAGCTGAGCTGATGAGAGCCACTCCCGGCACTCAGGCTGCCATGGCTAGGAAAGTGGAGTTCTCTTTCCTCTGGGGTTATTTATATGGTTAGAAGATAAGCCTGGATCTTCTGGTGAACATGTTTGCCATGACATAAGAAGCTGCCTGAGAATTAGGTCAACACAGAAAAGACAGAGTCTAGATATGGAGAAAGAAACATTCCTAATGAAATTATTTAAGTCCCCAAGTGCAGCTGTCCTAGAAGCCAGAACCTCTGGCTTTTCTTACACGGTTGTTTTTTTTTTTTTTCCTTTTTGTCTTTTTTCATGTCCGGCAATGGATCGCAACCCTCAGTGTCGCACCCGCACCTCGCTCAGCCAGTGAGCGGGAACCGGTCTGTATGTGGGATCCGAACCCTCGGCGGGAGCGCCGTCGCACTCCCAAGTGGCGCACTGTAGCAGTGCGCCACTGGGCCGGCCCATGCTCAGGATTTATTTGGCTATTCAAGGTCTTTTGTTCTTCTACATGAATTTTAGGATTGGTTTTCTATTTCTGTAAAGATGACATTGGTATTTTGATGGGGATTGCATTGAATCTGTAGACTGCTTTGGTTAGAATGGACATTTTCACAACGTTAATTCTTCCAATCCATGAACGTGAAATGTCTTTCCTTTTTTTTTTTTTTTGTCCTCTTTAATTTTTTTCAGCGGTGATTTGTAGTTCTCATTGTAGAAATCTTTCACCTCTTTTGTTAAATTCATTCTTAATCATTTCATTTTTTCGGTGGTTAGTGTTAATGGGCTTGCT